TGTTAAATGCTTGCTTAAAAAAGAGAAACCTTTGAAAGGAAAGGATTAAGGCTCAATGAAGCCCCTGGCTCCTGAGACTCAAGTTACCTGACTACTAGCATTTAACTCCTTGTATTTATTGATCCTCACTACTCAGGTTTGCTTAATAGCAACATGTTCTTCCTGCCGGCAGGGTATTATTCTATGGGTTCACCCATCGTAAGACAAGGAAAAATGTAATTTTTGTGTGTTGGGATGATTTGATGTAAATTTTGGAACTGGTCTAATTTATCCTGTAAATTTAAATATCCATTCTAATTTAAACAGATCATTGGTTCAAAGGTATTGACTGAAAGGTACAACTCTGTATAGCTTTAGCCTGAAATGGTTGCTGTTCTTTGCATGATATTTTTTTGGTACTGGTCATATGACTGACTTCATCAGTATTTGCCTAAGCAGCTGACAAGCACCCAAAGATTTTTTTTTTTTCCTATATTATGGCTTGACTAGGTTGACTGCACAGAGAACCAGAGTTTTCAAGGACATAGAGGCACAATTCCTATAATACAATCTGCACTGCCCAGTTTTTCATCACCAAGAAAAGCCCAACAACTAGAGGAGCCCTAGTTGGCACAATACCTCTCTCTGGTACTAATTACAAGAGAAAAAAAATTTGGGCTAATGTTTTCTGATAGCCTAAGTTCTAGCTCTTACGCTGTGCTCCTGGCCACAGTCATTGATTTGAGAAGCTGCTGGCAATGAATGCAAGTCAAATTTCCTCTAGCAGTCTTGCTCTTCTGCAGGTGTTTCCTAAATTAAAGTACTGGCAATGATAGGGTTTCAAAGCATTGTGCAAGTACATGCATTGGTCAGATTTTTTTGAAACTTTTCGTTGTTCCTTTTGGCTGGCTTACTCAGTTTCAACAATGGTTTCTTTTTATAAAACTCCATTTTGAATCAAAATAGTGTAATATAAAGTATTCAGCAATTTCAATAAAATATGAAGTGGGTATTCCAAATCCCACATCTCAAGTCTGTAATCTTTCTTAGACGAGTCTGTAATGCTGCTCATCAGCCTGGTGATACCCTTTTTTGCTGTGATAGCTAATATCTTAGTCACATCACTCAAAATGAGAACCAATGTTTGATGATAAAGATCAGAATGTATAGGCGAGCCCCAGTGGTGTATTTTTTTTCTTTTATCAGACTTGGGTTTTCTTCCTCTTGTATCGTTACCAGTGAAGCTGTAAATCAGTTCGGCTAAAGCTCCGTCTTGTCGTACTTAGAAAAAATGCTGCTTTTGTTTTATTTGGCGTTATGTTAATTTGGAGGAATGAGAAGCTTGATGGTGTATTTTTAATTTTTAAATTAGTTTAAATGTCAGTTACCATTGCAACAGTTCTCTCAATGGACATTGAAGAATGCTGCTTCCCTTCCCCAAGGCTTCAAGGCTGGAATCTTGGAGTTGTTTGATCCATGAACCACTGCAAGAAATGACTTCCCACATGTTGAGGCATAACATCACGTGGTCTCTTCTTTGTGACTATGCATAACAAGGCATAGGTAGAACAGAGGTACTCTGCCTGGGGATGCTTATCTGAGCAATATCAACGATTCATGTCTAATATGCAGCTGACAGTGGTGAGTGACTTCAGTTCCTAGTCTTGGAACTACTGCCCACTTTTTATCTAGGCATTTGTAGGTAGGCTGACTGAATCTCACCTTGTTCAGAGCTGGATGCATGACTTGCTTCACTAGCCTATTTTTCCAGTAGAATACCCTGCTTAACCATAGGGAGGGAAGTGCTATGAGAGTAGTGGGGACCAGGTGAGTACGTACAAATGGCTGGGCCAGGAGCAGAAACCCTGCCAGTCAACAGCACGACTCCCTGGGAAGTGACCCTCTAAGACACTGTTGTGGTTTAATCACAGCTGGCAACTGAGCACCCTTGATAGTGATATCGGCTGTGGCAGCACTTAGCTGCCTTTGACTCCAGTTCATATTCTAGCCTGTCTGGCATGGCAGCACTCAGCAGTGGTGTGACTTCATTCAGGCCACGATAGTCTACTATCAGTGTCTGCTCTCCATTAGACCTTCTCACTGGCCATATGGGACTGTTAGAGGGTGGTGGTGGTTCAGCACCTGTTCTTCAACCCTCAGCAACCCTACAACAAGAGGGTCCTCTGAGAGACCAGGCAGGGTAGACAGCCATTTAATCTCTTCCATTGCTAAGGCAGCTATCCCAAAAGCCCACTGGTACCCTTTTGGGTCCTTGAAATACCCTCTCCTGAGGCAATCTATACCAAGGATGCATGGAGCCTTGGGGCCAGTCACAACAGGGTGCTTTAGCCACTCATTCCCAGTTAGGCTCACTTTGGCCTCCAATACTGTTACTCCTGTTGGCTATTACTCCAGAAATACAGGTGGGTTCTGCCCCTGTGTAGCTTGATGGCATTAGGGTACACTGTGCATCGGTGTCCACTGGAGCTTTGTACTCCTGTGGGTCTGATGTGCCAGGCCATCAAATCCACACAGTCCAGTACACCCAGTTGTCCCTTTCCTCCACCTGGCTGGAGGCAGGGCCCCTCTAGTCCTGGTCGTAGTACTTGTTACTCCCTCCTTGTATTTACAAGTCAGAAGTCTCTTCATTAAGATCAGAAGTAAGACCAGCCCTTCTGCTCTCTCTGGGGAGCTGCCCACTGGGAACTGGAGCAGCAAGTTTCCTGGAAGAACTGTCTTTTGTTATTGTTTTTCCTTGCAACTCACATACCCGTACCTTTAGGGTTGAGGTAGATTTTTCCATCCCACTTCTTCATGTCTTCTCCCTGGTCATGCACATAAAATCACAGGTGGCCCGTGATGTGTACCCTCTATATCCTCTCTCTCGAGCAGAGGAATGCTTACTCCTAATAGCTGAGATACTGGTCTATATGGGTGGGGAGTAGGACATACCCTCTTTGAGTTGCTGGACCTTCTGGGACAGTTTCTCCACAGCTGAGGTGAGGGAGGAAGAGAGATTTTCTTCCTATTGCTGGAGTTGGCCAGCTAATTCATACACTATTGGTCCCTCTCCATCTTTCCATGTCAGTACTGCTAATGAGTTGGTGTATGATGATGGTCCATACAAGTTGTGTGCACTGGACTTCATCTGGATCTTTGGATAACTGCTTCTTGTCCAGGTCATCATAAATCATCTCCAATGGCGCTAATTGCCTCAGGTACTGGATATGTCTCTAGGTGGTGGTCCACTTGTCTATGTGACATAAAACATCTTCCTTGAAGGGATACCTTTCCTTCATGCCTGACAGGGCTTGCTTCCAGAGGCTGAGGGCTTGTGCCCCTTTTTGAATTGCTTTGTCAGTGCCCCTTTCCCTAGAAAGGGATTCCAGCTGCTTGGCTTTCCTACCCTCTAATTCCAGGCTACTGGCCCTGTTAGCCCAGCATTGGAGCAGCCAGGTGAGAATGTGCTCGCCTGGGGGATGGCTGAAATCCTTCCGCATATCTCGCAGTTCACTTAGGGATTGGGTGGTTAGTGCCTTGTTTATGAGTTCTTCCCCTTCCCCCTCTTCTCATGCTGGTCCTGCTTTTTCATCATTCCTTACTAAACGAGCTGACTTTTGCTTCCAAGATTGCTTCTTGAGCGTAGGGGCGACACATACCGGCACGGCTTGGTTCCCTGGTTCAGCCGCAGTGCCTGTTGTGGGGGATGGAGGTAACCACAGCGCCTGCCATTTTGTCATCAGATCCAGAGATCTTCTCTTCCCCTTGAGGGTACTCAGTACAGGGTTCAGTGGGCATGGGCCAGGCCCCAGCATGCTGCAGAGATTTGTGTCTCCCTAGAATTGCCAGGGTGACAGCACACTTTTTCCAAATATTCTACTAACTTTTTCAGGGTTCTGTACTTGTTCAGGGGTGAGCTTCCAAAACACTGGAGGTGCCCACCATCCTAGGTGTTTGCCCATGCTATCCCACACCCCCTGCCGCTCATAGCTACCCAGCCTTGTGGCAGATCTCTGGATGATGTTCTTAGATTGCTTATTAACCTTAGACAAAACTGAAACAACATTCCCAAGAAATACCAGTAGAAGTATCTTAATTACCTAAGGATGTTCAAGATCCTGAAAAGCTATTGTAACGAAGGAGGAAACATCATAGAAGAAGGTAGCAAAGGTGCCATTCTGTATTTCCTTTGTTAAAAAAAAACTTCTGAGAGGAAGAAGTGTAATTGCTAATTGTTTCCACGAGGTGGTACCCGAGGTACAGTAATGGTTTCAGTACAAAGCTCAAATACCAGCTTAAACTCAAGGCCAGTGTTTTAATAAAAAAATCTTCCAGGCAAAACATCACTAATTACTGCAGAGCACAGAAAACTGCAAAACCCAACACCAATCTTTAACATGTACAGCAAAAAAAAAGCATGGTGCAGATCAGATAAACTAATATTGAGAACAGATGCACCAATATCATGACCCACAACTGTTAACAGATATAAATTCCTTAATACACTCTGGTTAATCTGTTATTATCTCGAACCCTTTGAATCCCATGTTGGGCACCAAAAAGGACTGCTGTGGATTAAGTCCCAGCCAGCAACTGAGCCCCACCCAGCCTCTCGCTCACTCCCCCTGCAGTGGGATGGGGGAGAATCGCAAGAGTAAAAGTGAAAAAAACCAACAACCAAACTCATGAGTTAAGAACAATTTACTAATTGAAATAAAATAGTAATAATACTACTACTATACAAAGCAAGTGATACATGATGCAATAGCTTACCACCTGTAGATGGATGTCCAGCCAGACCCTGAGCAGCAGCCCCCCATCCAGCTTTCCCCTAGTTTATATACTGAGCATGACGTCATATGGTCTGGAGTACCCCTTTGGCCGGTTGGGGTCAGCTGTCCCAGCTGTGCCCCCTCCCAGCTTCTTGTGCATCTCCAGACTTCTCAGTAGGTAGAGAAGCTGAGAAGCCCTTGACTGGTGTAAGCCCTGCTCAGCAACAACTAAATCATCGGTGTGTTATCAACGTTCTTCTCATCCTAAATCCAAAACACAGCACTGTGCCAGCTCCTAGGAAGAAAATTAACTTTATCCTAGCTGACACCAGGACAGGTACCCGGCTGCATGGCACGATGCCATCCAGCCCCTGTCTGGACTGCAGAGAGGATGGTGGGAAATCAGGAAAAAAAGCCCAGTCTGGATCTAACTTTTTTAGTTCACTTGGAACTTAGGCACACCATTACAAACTGGTTAAACCAAATTGCAAGGGAAGAAGCAATGTGAGGATTTTGGGGTGTGTTTTTAAGATACAGCCTAATGGCTTTAAACTTCACTCGCTTCCCAGGCAGGCTTTGATTTCAGTTTCCTTGGCTGCAGCTGACTGCACGCGTCCTCCTGCTGCAGGGGTGGGCTGGGAGCGTGGTGGCTGCCGTGCGCTTGGGTGGCCCTGTCGCCCTCCCCAGCTCCATGTGCAGCCCCTGCAGCCACGGGGGTGAAAGTCTGGAGTGGGGTGGTGCTGGGCTTGGGATGACACAGCTGTACGTGGCTGCAGAGGAGGAGTTCTTGTTACCTTGCTCCAGCCGTTTCTGCCTGAGAAGAGGAGGTGGGAGAGGAGGGGGCACATCTGTGTGATGCAGGGAATCTTAAGAGTGCTGGCCCACACAGCAGCGTTCATAACCGGTTAGGCCACTGTTGCTCTGATGGCCGGTGGGCAGCGAGACCTGGTGAAGAACTGGTTCTATTTCTGTCCCCAGGCCAGAGTGGCTTTCTATACTCATTTATTTTTTGGAGTCTTTAATTTTTTTGCCCGCTTGCCTAAACCATGCAAGTCACTTTCCAGACCATTTTTCATGTCTTTAAAACGTTACCTTCACTTATGCTTTTCTTTCTGATGGAAGCAGCTGTTGTCAGCAAAAGGTGTTGAAGTAGCAAGTGCCTATCTGTAGACAGCACAAAGCGTCATTGAACCCTGATATAACTGGGCTTTTTGGGGGTACCCCAAAAAGAATTGTACCTACAGTCTTACAGGTCTTCTATGGTAAGAAATAGCTGGTTTGGCCATAAGTATTTTATATTATGGCTTCCCAGAGCTATTCCTAGTGCGTAATTCCTTAGTGAATGCTTTTTATTTCTTGTATCATTGCAAAAATACGGTCAAGTGAAGGCTGTGTTCCCTGTTGTAGGTGGGAGAGGTTTTCCTTGGAAATGGAGGAGTGTGGAGAGTGAGGGTGGCTGCAGGGGTGAGACAATCAAGATGCTGGAGTTTGTGGGAAAGCTGTTCCCTTCCCATTACTTGGTTCAATGTTGAGACACTTCCGTTTCACAGTATACTCACCCATTCTTTACAGAACCCGGTTGATAAGCCTTGCTCGCATGTGGTGCCCATCAGCGGCTACACTAAACTTTTCATTTGCTTGCATGTTGATGGAATTTTCCATCTACACTTGCTCCTTAAGACACCTCTTCTTTGAGGAGCTGCTTTGGCTAATAAAAAAATCCCACAGTGCTGTGCCTGATAGTGGCTTTTCTGGAGAAAAGGAACGTACGTGCTCTGATTAGGGGTTAAATGCAAATTCTCCCTGGTTAAATTAAGGTCTGATTTCAAATGAAACCTAAAAAATAAAGCTTGCAACATGTAGTTTAATAATTTATGGAGTTAGTCTTGACTTTTGGTCAAATGTTGTTGTTACTTAAATAGCTTTGCTGCCAACTGAATATATCAGTGCTGCAGAGAAGACCTAGATGAGGTTTTTGGGGTAGTTCTGATGCCAAAATGCCAACCCTGGATGACATTTTGGAGAACATTGGAGAATTTGACAGGTTCCAGAAGCAAACTTTCTTTGTCCTGTGTTTGCTTTCTGCTGCCTTCACCCCGGTGTACGTGGGTGTCGTCTTCTTCGGGTTCATCCCCGAGCATCGCTGCTCCAGTCCCGGGGTGGCTGAGCTGAGCCAGCGATGTGGCTGGAGCCTGGAGGAGCAGCTCAATCACACGGTTCCCGAGTGGGGCAGCCATGGGGCCGATTTCAGCAGCCGCTGCAGGAGGTACGAGGTAGACTGGAACACGACGGGTGTCAGCTGCACCGACCCCCCCGGCAGGACCGTCCCCCTCGGTCCCTGCCGGGACGGCTGGGTCTACGACTCCCCGGGGACCTCTCTCGTGACTGAGGTAAAAACAAGCGCCCCCCCTTCCCTTGCCCCCTCAGTTACAGACAAGCTGAGGGACGTGGGAGAGGGTTGGTGTGGCCTAGGCTGTCTTAAAATGATGCCTGCTTACCTGGATGAGGGGATCCTCTTGCTGCGAACTTGCGCAGGGCGCTTTTGCAACTTGTCTTCCCTCTGTCCTTGTTGTGAAGCGTTGCCTTGGCTGCTCAGGAGGTTTATATCTCCAGCTGGGGAGCAAAGCCTATTTCAGCAAATAAACCCCTAGGCAGATAAAGTCCAGTTCTGAATGAAACTGCCGTCACATGAGAGGTCCGATTGGTGGAGGTGTGTAAATAGTGCCTGCGAGGGATCGGCGGCTCGCAGCACTGCAAACAACGCCGGCCGATCCCCAAGTGGGCACGCGGCACAGACCTCCCAATCTTCCTGGGATCCATGCCCAGATGTGAAGGTCTCGATTTCTTTCTTTTTTTTTTTTTTTTTTAATGAAGAAAGTCTTTTAAAATTTTGTTTCAAATACGATTGAATGACTATGGGTGGGGGAAAGGTAATCACCTCCTACAACTAAACAGCATTATTCAGGAATTAATTGCAGGAAATCTGATGGCTGTTTTGTGTTCTTAGAAAACGTGTGAATAAACTGACAATGGTATTTAAGCTGCTTAGGGTACTTTAGGGTTTTAGGAGCTTTAACTTTAAAAACAAATCCGTATCTGGGATGACAAATTTGATTTTGTCATAGAAAGTTCCACCAAATTTTGAGAGATGTGAAAGTCAGGATTCTCTCCCCCATATATCTAACACAAACGCAGGGGCAGGTAAATTTTGCGCTCTAGCAACTTCAGCATTTACAGTTTTGCAAGAGGTCGGAGCTAGATTTCAGGTGGTATACTGTAAGCGTACTTCTGTCAGCAAAGTATGTGACTGTGTGACACTGAAGTGAGGAAGCGGGACGCCTCAAACGGAGGGTGACCCGGGACAAAGCAGCAGCGCAGCAGGCACATCGCGCTGCAAAAGCCTCGAGCGGATGCTGTCGTCCAGATGCCCCCCCACGACCTCTTGGGATTGTGGGAAGCTGAACACTTGCAGCCTCTGTGGATTCGTGCAGCCTGTGGATTCATGCAGTCACGCTCTCGCTTCAGTCATCTTCCCTTTTCTTCTGGAGGGGGTGCAAGGCCAGGCCGACGGGCTGCTTCCTTCACAGGATTATCAGAAATATTACACGCCTCTTTGTGCATTTGGGCAATGCGGTTTCCCTCTGGATGTGACTGTTTCTGGGAAGGCTCTTGGGGTCTGTTATGTTGTCTGTTATGTCTGGCAGCTAAGCAAGGGAAAGAATAGCATAGAGTAAAGCAGAGTAAAGTTACTTTGCTTGAAGGAAAAATGTGCACATGGAAGAATATCCTCACGAGAAGCCCCACAGAGCATCAGGAAGAGGATCTGGTTTTATGTTGCTTAAAGACATGTAGCGTTAAATAAACCCAGCTACCAGTAGGAGGGGAAGGGATTCTTAGTCATGTTAGGACAACTTTTTGAAATAACTTATTCTCCAGTAGAATCATAGAATCATTTAGGTTGGAAAAGACCTTTAAGATCATCAAGTCCAACCGTTAACCTAACCCTGCAATCCCACCACTAAACCATGTCCCTAAGCAGTAGCTTTTCTGTAGATCTACTTAAGTAAGATAAGAGAACTAAAGCCAGATGGCAAACATATGTGTGTTCCCATGTGGCACAAAGCTTGGCCCTGGGTATAAAATACCTGGTATCCAGGCACGTTAGGCTGTAGCAAAATTTAGTTGAGCAAAAGGCCAGAGCAGAGAGAAAATGCTGTGGCCTGAGGGGCCGATGCAGATACCTCCTCCCACCCTTCTTCACGGAGCTGGCGCTCCACAGGAAGCGAGGCGAGGCAGGCTTCTGCAAGCATCTAGGATACCTTTTGTGAGGGCATCATGCTTAGCCCTGAGGGGGTCTGCAGGGGCTATGGTGGCATGCGAGGGTATGAGGCAAGTGGAACTGCTTAGAAATGTTCATCTTCAGCCACAAAAAAGCTCTTTGAAAAGCCCAGGGTGGTTGTCAAGTCCATGCTGATATGATCAACAAGGCCTAACACAAATTAGGGTCCCAGTCTTGACAGGTAATAACTCAGTTATGTGCTTTCCAGTAACAAGAGATGAGACACGAATGGGAAATACCAGGAGATTGCTCAAGGACTTGATCCTGTTTCTAATGTTGGACACTTAAGTCGGTAGGGTTTCTGGGTGCTGATAAAATGGTCATTGACCCAGAAACAAGTTTAAATCTTTAACTGAAGCAAAGGAAACTTGTGGATGTGAGCCAGCTTCTCATTTCACTCTCTTGCTTCTTGACTGTGGTTGCTCCTTCAGTTTAACCTGGTGTGTGAGGACTCCTGGAAGCTGGACCTCTTTCAGTCTTCTGTGAACGCTGGGTTTTTTATTGGCTCCATAAACATTGGCTACATAGCAGACAGGTACGTGTGGGCCGACAGTAAAACCCCCTGACCCCTCTTATCGGTGTTCAGCAGCTAAGCTCAGAAAAGGCAGAGAAAGGTTGTGCAACTGCTGTCATCTCTGCTCTTCTCAAAATAAGGTCAACCACCTGTAGGTTCAGTCACGGTATGAGGAGCCAGCCCTCTGCCTCTTGGGTCATACCTGGTGGTTTGCACAAACCTCCCGCTTGGCGAGTCCTGCAGAGCCCACGAGGGCTATTTTAGGACTAGTACACCCCAAACTCCCTGGGTGTTAACCGAAGCCAGGAAACACTGGTTTGGAGCCCCCCTTCACCTCTCACACTCTGTGTGGCTGCAGCTCGGAAACATCTTGCTTCCTTTGGAGAAACTTTGAAACAGTAGATGCAGGGATTGCCAGATAGGTACAGCAGCAGTCACTGTGAAAAAGCAGAAATCCCCGTGTCCTGGCACCCTCAGCTCCCTGTTCAGAGCAAGCGGAGGCAGCCACCCTAGCCCAGGCGGCTGGGGTTAAGAAGAAACAAATGCCAATATCTGAAGGTCTTTTCCCCGTGTTCCCCTCTTGCCTAGGACTGTTACAGCAGGCTCTGAGTTGCTCCAGCTGTCGAATGCAGCCCACTCACAAAAAGATCCATATGTATCAGATTTTTGGAGATTAAGATTGTGGTATATAATCTGTTATAAATCTGGTGCAAGCAGACATATTAGAATCATAATATTAACCCACACTTATTTTTCACTGCCATTATAAAAAAAAACAGATTACTAAGCTGGCTGTTCTGAAATTCAGGGATAACAGCCCCAGCCCAAATGTATGTAAATACAGGACTATAATTCTTTAACTTGGGAAATTTTTCTTTTTCCTGAAAGTCTGCAGGACATTGCAGAGAAATCAGCACAGTAGTTTTTCAGGGAATAGAAAAGCAGAGTGAGTAATGGGCTAAGAATAAAAGTCGAAATGTATCTATCCCTTGTATAGCAAAGTTGGATTTTTTTTTTTCCCCAAAGATGCACAAAGTTCTTACGAGTTCAAAACGCCTGTGTTTTCATGACTAGTGTTTTGCTTTACACGTATTATCTTCCGATTCAGGTTTGGACGTAAATTTTGCCTCTTAAGTACAATTCTTGCAAATGTTGTCTGTGGAATCCTTCTGGTCTTCATGCCCACCTACCTGTGGATAGTCATCCTCCGGTTCTTGCAAGGGCTGGTCAGCAAGGGCTGCTGGATCGCAGGCTACATCCTGGGTGAGTTCAGACCTTTTCCCATGAGCAAGACTGGCTGCAGAAGATGAAGGAAAAAAAAACCCCCAAAGAAAAGCCATTTGAAAAATGCCTCCCATGGTGTTTTATCAAGGAGCTTTCTCCTTCTGTGACTTCTCAGGGTTTCTTTCAAGCACTGTCACTATGGATACGCAACAGTAGCCTTCAAAGCTCAAGCAAGTGGTGGTTCATTAGGGCTGTCACCTCAAGAGAGGCTTTCCCCTATGGTGCAGATCCCCTTTGCAGGTCTGGGCCCTCCAGCTCCTCTCCCTCCCCTCGAGCACTGGCTAGGGAAGATGGCAGCCTCGGGGCAGACCGCAGCCACCCCAGCCCAGTCGCAGATGGGGTTGGTGACAGAGGAGGCCATTAAAGAAGCAGGTAGGGGGTGGGGAAAATTTGGAGGCATTTTTATGACACAAAGACCAAACAAAAGGGCAAACAGAGGCTTTACAGCCTAACAATAGCTGAAGAAGAGCACGCGCGTGCTGAGAAAAAGACAAGGTATTTGGGCATCTGTGCAGGTGTCTGAGCGGAGGCCAACCTGGGGGATTGCAAAGCAAGGCGAGGAGCCAGGCCGTGTCTATGCCTATCCCAGCGCCATGCACTGATCCTGTCTGGTGGTGAAGCAGGGCTGCGTGGCAGCAGGGCTGGGACCAGCTCAGGACCACTTTCTGGTGCATGCTAGAGCTGCCCGGGACTTCTTTGGCTTCTCCGGTGTGGAGTTTGGGTTCTTGTCAAAAATACCCAACACCAAGCAATCACCAAAGCAGCAAATGAAATATTTTAAATGCTGCCCAATGGACCCTTATCTGGATGAGGACGTCAGGTGGCTCTACCAAATAGCTCTGAGCGACCCAGTTCGCTGTGATAGCGGAAGAAATGTAAATGTCAACACCCTAAACTTCTATTAAGTCTTTTAGAGGGGACATCTTGCTAATGCAGTTATCCAGATGTCTGGTATAAATAAAACCAAAACAACTAGCCCACAGTCCAAACCATCTTCTGCCAAGACACGACTGTTCCTTCCTGTGCATATTCTAGATGCTTGCTTGGCCTCTTAAATCTTCTCCTGGCACTAATGAAATCTTCACCACCTCCTCTGGGGAACTTTATGCCATTTTAGAGCATAAAATCCCTATCAGGACAATGACTTGCCCTATCCTGATTATTTCCCCTCAGTTACACCTTGTTACTCCTGGATTCTCCTAGAAACTCTCTCATGAGAGAGAAGTCACCCAGAATCAGCCCCAAAGCCCCTTTAAACTTGTATCCTCTCTCTAAGGGTAGCCAATCCTGAATGCCCAGGGAAGGGTGCACGGACAGAGCAACCTTGTCATCACGCTGTCCCCTGGGACACTTGTCTACCCTTCAGCTGCTTTTGGCTCAGTCCCACTCAGCCTGAGGAGATGTCTTTGTCTCTGAGCATCGTTTGGCCAGGCAGTATTAGCTAATCCGTGGCTCCAAAACACAGCACTTCCTTCAGTTGCTAAGTAACTGCTTTCTGTTCTTTTTCTAACCGGTCTGCTTTCTGGAAATAGCACAATCGGATACAAAATTTTGAGTGTGCTTGTGCCTGCCTGCTGACATAGTTACATTCAGCTCTGTATCAACAAGACTTAACCTGTGGGTCTACCCCGTGGTGTGCAGTTGCAAAGCGCAGATGAGCCGTGAAGCCAGGAAGGTGTGTGCCATCCTGTGGCACACGCATTTCTTACACGCTGGGCGTGAGATGCAGGCTGAAAGGCTGCACTTAGAAAACAAAATACGATGTTTTGGTATTGGGTTGGAGACATTATGTAGGCTGGTGTTAGATTTGACAGCAAAATCCATCTGTGTGCTATAAGGAATGTTTGATTTACTCAGAGATTTCCGCAAGAGGGGACAGTACCGTGTGCCTTAGGGCAGCGTAAGAGCAGGAGCAGTGTTTTCTCCTCTGATTAGAGTTTGAGCGGCAGAAAAGCAAAACTTCCTCTGAGAGCACCAGGGGATTTTTGCCTGGAGGCTTTATGCCAGGAAGCCCAGGGTTACTGAGGCAGTTTCTTCAGGGCATTAATGCAGCATTGGTCTTCCAGTGTCCCCACAACGTAAGTTCCTGCTGCGCTGAGGGGCCGTGGCTGAGCTGTCATTCACCTGTCTCTGTGCATGTTTGCAGCGACGGAAGTTGTCGGTCCGAAGTACCGGAGGACGGTGGGCATCCTCTACCAGACGGCCTTCTCCGTCGGGCTCCTGGTCTTCGATGCTATCGCTTACGCCATCCCTCACTGGCGGTGGCTGCAGCTCACTGTCACCCTCCCAAGCTGCTTCTTCCTGCTCTACTACTGGTAACCGGGCTTTTGTTGTACCTCTGCCCACGACCCAAAACCCAGCTGCTTCTGCCTCCCGGGGCTTGGTACAGAGGGAGATTTGGCACTGCTTTTCAGCTGTGTGTGCCTTGTAGTGCAAAGAGGAGGTACACAGCAAAAAGGAGTGGGAAATAGGACCCCTCAGCAACCGAGATTTCATTGCATCTTAGCCTGTGTGCCGCACCTGACTTCTGTTTAAAAGAAAGACGGCTTTGAATAACACTGGGGGAGAGTGGTTCAATATCATATATTACCTTTGTCAAGGATTTCACAAAGGAAAGTAAATGCCTTGACATAATTTAGTGTATTCGACACTGATGGCTATTGGGAGGTTGTTGAATGCTAACATAATTGTATCAGGTGCTTTACATGTTCTTTTAAGGAAGAAAAGTTACAGGTTTTTGTGGTCCAACCAAAAGAAGGCACGTGGGTTTGCCTTTATTTTGGATTCTCTCCTCGTTTTGATTGATATTCTTCGGTTTGAGTGCTTTGATTTGAGAAATTGTCTGGATGGGTCGAGAGGTTAGGAATAGTAGAAAGAGATTCATCGTCTTCCTTTTTCCATATTTGTGAATTGGTAAGCCAGTTCTATTTTGTTTACTTCTTCTTAACATGTGATGGCACGACTGGAAAATGACTCCCTAAGAGGAGCCAGTTTGTAGTGAACAGGACAAATAAAATGATAGCACTACTCTTGCTCAAAGCCTTTCCCTGGTTTATCTTTAGTAAACTCACCTCTGACTAAAGCCACTGCCACAACTCTTCCTTTTCCCATTTCAGCAGTGGGATATACTACTTTTCCTGATGGGGGTGGTGGGGTGGTGGGGAGGGAGGAAACACACAAAAAAAACCCCAAAATCCCCAAACAAAGCAAAACTCCACCTGCCTCTATTCAACAAAATCCCTCTCTCCAAAGTCTCCATACATGGGACCACTATGTGAGCTTTGTGTTTTGGTATATAATGGCATCTACTCGTGTTGTAGGTGCCTCCCAGAGTCTCCCAGGTGGCTGATCTCTCAAGGAAAAAATGACAAAGCTATGAAAATTGTCAGTGATATGGCTAAAAAAAATCAGAAAAAGATGCCTTCCCATTTTGAGGTGAGTTCAGGGTTTGCTTATGCACGTAAGCAAGCATCATGATAGTCCCTTCCATCAGGTCCTCCCAGTAGAAGCTTACTGTACTTTGTACTGGCTGTTCCACAGGATATTAAATTTGAAGCAGAAGATGGCAGAAAGCAGAGTCCTTCATTCATTGACCTTGTCAGGACACCACAGATGAGAAAAAACACATTCATTTTGATGTACAATTGGTAAGAAGACAGTGTTGGAGAGCTGGTTCTGAAGCTCTGGTTATGAAGGCTCCAGCAGGACGCAGACCTCGGTCCTCCGACTGACTAATGAAGCTGGGATGCTCTTCTCTGCCCAGGTTCACAAGCTCCGTCCTCTACCAGGGGCTCATCATACACATGGGAGTAGCCGCTGGGAACATGTATCTGGATTTCCTCTATTCTGCGCTCGTCGAGTTCCCAGCCGCCTTCATCATCATCGTCACCATCGACCGCATTGGGCGGCGCTACCCCTGGGCTGCGGCTAACCTGGTGTCTGGGGCTGCCTGCCTCGTCACAGCCCTGATCCCAGAGGGTGAGTCACCTGCACGAGGCCGCGCGGTGGCTCCCCACCCTGGCGATGCCCCCCGGGGAACAGCACCCACCTCTCCCTCCTTTTTCCCAGGATTCGGTCCCAAAGGTCTGCAAACCCACCCTGCCGCCAGGTGCTGCCTCCCTGACTTCCAGTAGCGCTCCGCGTGCTGCCAAAGTGACATGAGGTTCAGTTGTAGCACTGCCAATAATAAACCTCAAAGCACCTGGGTCCCCTGTGATGCTTTGGGAGGGTCCCTGTGCCACAGCTCATGTGGTGCTGGCTGTTCCCATTCCCTCATTCACACAGGTGAAGCAAGGGGCCTTAAAAATATCACGTGATATGGGATCAGAGGTTCCCTTCCCAAAATAACACTGGTGTATTAATTGACCCCTGCTAAATAGCTGGGATACTTTTAAATGTGTTGCATGCGTTTTCTCTGCAGACATACATTGGCTAAAAGTGATTGCTGCCTGCATCGGGAGAATGGGAATCACAATGGCTTTTGAAATGGTTTGCTTTGTAAACACTGAACTTTATCCAACATACATCAGGTGGGTGTGTCCTCCTCCCCATTGGCATTTGGCCTGCAAACAAATAGTTGAGGCCGATGTGTATGTTACGTTTTATGCTAAACTGAGTTATCCTCAAGTGCTTCAGATCTACACAGGTACTGCTGAGCATAAAGTAGATGGAGCATAAGTGCTTTAAGAAGTAGATTCATGAAGGTGACAAATATACCTTAAGGCAGATGAAAACTCACGTGACTGAAATAATGGGAAAAGTGGAGACAGCCAGGATGGATGATGGTTCTGAAGTCCCACGTAGTGCTTGGATTTGTATCGTGTTTAAATCAAAATAACATTTAAATGGATCTGTCTGGAGTGGAGTCTGCTATGGAGAACATGTGTTAACTCAAGCCCTTTGCCTGAGGACTGGATTCTTTCCGTATTTGTAAGTGGGCTGCAGGGTGACTCGTTCAGAAGTAGCTATGTGTGCTGCAGAAATCTAAAGCTGGGGAGTTAATTCTTCTTCAAAATTTCCTTTCTACCCAGTGACTGTAGGCCATTGCCTGCAGAGAAGGTGTCTGTGCTGGCCAGATGAATCTTAATCCTCCTTTCTTAATTGGAGACACACTGATTATAGGAAGCTACACAACACATGAAATCACGAGACTCTATTAATCTTATTTTTCTATCCGTAATGAATACAGTAGAGTTTTAAATTTTATTAATGGTGTACAGCAAACAGAAAGAACATTTGCCACACCTGGCATTAGGTCAGCTAAGATGTACTGAAGCTAGTGGTTTTACATTTTTATTGTATCCAGAGACTCCCCTCAGACACTTTGGGCTTGATTCTCTTCTATCTTTAAGCTCGGGAATTTGCTTACACCTGTGAAAATACAGATACACTCTCCTGTTCCTATTTAGTAAGCTTTTTGTTCTTGCAATAATTAGCTCTAAATAACTTCTGGATGTGCCCACCAGTGGAAAACTAGGGGTTTGCAACCTATTTTGGCATTTTGTGGTCTGCTGAGCTGCATGCCCTGTGCAAGGGTCAGAACTGTGGTCCGTGCCCTTCTGTCCGCAGTCCTGAGATGCTAACGTGATCCCTTTGCTGTTGCACCAGGAACCTCGGGGTGATGGTCTGCTCCTCCCTGTGCGATATTGGTGGAGTCATCGTCCCATTCATTGTGTACAGACTGGTGGAAGTCTGGCATGATCTGCCACTGATAGTCTTCAGTAAGTGCCACCTTACCTCCGTGCCAGCCACTCCTGGGGTGCAGCAGGGGGGCCCGGCTTCCAAAGGGAGGGAAAAGCAGCCAAGGCAGATGCCCAAATTCAGCAGAAGCCCCTTCCCATCTACGGAAGCTATAGCCTTCAGTTTATAACAACCTGGAGCTTGTTTATGCATTTGTGTCTCCTTTGCCCTTCTTATTTTTCCTTGCATTTTAAAGGAAGCTAGAGGTGAGTACAGGTTTGGCAGAAGGCAAAGGGCTGAGAAATGTTCTAATGTTTTGATGAGATTAATATTTTGATGAATTCAAATCTGATCAATTACTGCTCTTCTGTGAGCTATATTGTCTCAGTCCAGGAGCCAAAAATTTCGCGTAATTGCCTACTTAATGGAGTACAAGCGTGGCTGTTACACTTCAGCTTTTCTGGCAGTCTGTTAACTGGCTGTTCTCCAGCTATTTGGAAAGAGGTTGGTAAATAAGTGCAAGATAGGTGTTTGCAGACCAGTGACCTGAGCTCTCAGGTCAGGGTCTGCAAAACTTTTCTGAATCTTTAGATCAGCACACTGTTTATAGAAAAACGTCTTGAATGGCAATATGTAGTTTTTAACAGATGGCACTGTTAGGAGGGTGCTTGGTAGATTTAAAATATAGACACCAAATGTACAAAGTGGGTAAAAGAAATTATCAGTGGAGAAGTTAATCACATTGTGTAGGGGATAATACATTGTGTATGTATTTTCTAAATCTTGTTACATAAATGGCAGAAAAATATAATCCATTCCCTGGCATACACTCAGACGGGAAAGGGTTCTTTCTTCTTTACAGTTGTCTGTCCAGCCTGAGATGCCGTAGTTCAGTGCACAACTCACAACGGAACTTGGCTCATTGCTGTCTCCCATATGGCTGGGGCATCCTCCAGAGCCAGCCATGCCTTCCCTTTTTTGCACATAGAGCCTTGATGTACACATCTTGTATGATGAACAAAATAAAATGTCATTTATGAGTCCTTTGTGCCAGGCAGTAGAAAGTGGTGTATAGGCTGGAAATCGGTATCTGCTAACAAGCTCTTCGTGCATCTGTTCGATTTGAAGCTGTTCTTGGTTTGATTGCGGGTGGATTGGTGTTGCTTCTACCTGAAACTAAAGGAAGAGTTTTGCCTGAGACTGTTGAAGATGTTGAAAACTTTCACGGGTGAGTCAGGACGATGAACTCTTAGCAGCTTTCACCTGAAATTGTGCAAAATCCCTGCCCAGAGCTCCCTGGGGAAGCCCAGGGGTTACTTGGCTGCCTCCTGTGTTTCCAAGAAGTCGTTAGTTAATTCCAAGACTCTAGCTGGAGAGACTTTCTTTTTACCCCTTGTCTACCTAGGCATCTGAAAACAAGCAGCGTAAGCCTTTATTGGCCTGTGAATAGCTGCACTAGTCTCTCAAACCTGCTGCAACACTATTATAAATGTTATTTGTGCTTAAAAATCCCTAACTAATCTTGTGGAACAGAAAAAGAGCATTCTTGATAGCAGCTAGTCATGGGGTGAGTAACGCACCAGTATCTACTGAGGAACAAGAGCAAATCCAGAGGATTTGAGGATTAGCTGCTCATTTTCTCTGGGAAAGAGGCAGGGCAAGTGACGAACTTGAAGTTATGTACTCACTGAACATCTTCATTCCTGGTTTGTTGCTCATGTCTTGTTATTCTTGCAGGCAAAGTGCTCTAAAGGCCAAAAAGATCTATCTCCACGTCCAAACGTCAGAAGTAGCACAGGACTGAAGAAGGCGTAGCTCTTTCTGGGCAGCCTGTGTTAAGGCACTAATATGGAAAGGCAAATTGGAATAAATATTCTCTCCTGCCTTGCCTCTTTTTTGTCTGCCTATCCTTCATTTACAGTGTTTGGGGGTTTGTGACGCAATAGTCCCTGTTACTGCATAGCTGCTTCCCTCTCTGTACACTATAATATAAAATGTTTCAGAGCTGGGAACTTTTCATACCAGCTGTGTGGACTTCAACATGGGGCAAGAGCTTAAGTTGGGGATGGTGGGGTCCATCCCAACAAAACTTTATAAGCCTCCATGGAGCCTGGCTTTGTTGTTTTGTCTTATGAAGGGGCACCATAATATAACAGAGGTTTACTTCTGTTACGGAGCCAAGGTGACTACAAACCTCATACAGTCTTGGTACAACTTGCAACAGATTTGCACAGATTTTTTGTTTTTTTTTTAGCTAGCCCTTATGTGTTATGGTGTTCATACGAGTCCATGTGCCTGTACAATAGCCCTCATTGGGGATTTTATTGGCTATCCTCAAGCTCACAAAGCTGGGCATGTGGCAACTCCAGAGCATGAAAAGGTGCACATGGGAGAAAGACTCATAGTCCTTCATAAAGTAATAGCCTTGCTCAGTAATCAATGTGTAACCACTAAATTTTGTTGTCTTAATATAATCTTCATAGCAGATAATCTATACTTTATTTTGTACGAAACTGTTTTCTTAAACCTCCACAGCATTACAAAAATGTGCATGCACAGACATGAAGAATTTTATTAAAAATATTACATTGAGACTCCAGTCAGGGTGGGAAAAGCATTACAGCTGCCAGGGGACTGAGAGCCCATCAGAGTCCTGCTCCACTGGAGGCTTAGGATGGGGCTGGGGCCAGGACAGAGCTGTATCTCTCCGTGTTTGGAGGGGGCAGCCCTGCAGGGGCATACCTTTGGAGGGAGCTGGGCTCAGGCTTAGGGAACTGCAGGACTCTGAGCTGGGATTTAGCCAGGGGTCCTGTGCCTCAGGGTGCACTGGGACAATACTGGGTCTGCCAAGAAATATCCAGCACCCATGTCCTGGTTTCAGCTGGGATAGAGTTAATTTTCTTCCTTGTAGCTGGCACAGTGCTGTGTTTTGGATTTAGGATGAAAAGAATGTTTATAGCACACTGATGGTTTAGTTGTTGCTGAGCAGGGCTCACACCAGGCAAGGACTTTTCAGCTTCCCCTGCTCTGCCAGGGGCACAAGCATCTGGGAGGGGGCACAGCCGGGACAGCTGACCCCCACTGGCCCCAGGGGTATCCCACACTGCATGCCATGCTTGGGGGAATTAGCCAGGGGGAGAGCGATTGCTGCTTGGGATGGGCTAGGTGTTTGTTGGTGGGTAGTGAGCAATTGCATTGAGCACTGCTTGTTTTCTATATTCTGTATATTCTACTATTATTATTACTTCTTTTCCTCTACTGTTTTATTAAACTGTCTTTATCTCAACCCACAGGTTTTACCTTCCTAGTCCTTCCCATGTAGTAACTGTAAGTCTTGCAGTTGTAGAAAATAGGCACGACGATAGGATGTCATCCAGACGGGATGTCATCCAGAGAGACCTAGACAGGCTGGAGAGGTGGGCCTGTGTGAACCTCATGAGGTTCAACAAGGCCAAGTGCAAGGTCCTGCACCTGGGTCGGGGTAACCCC